GGGAAGAAGTCCCTTCAGACTGAGTCACCAGCCCCTGAGAAAGGTTTTGTTTTGTTTTTGAGATAAGATCTCACTAAGCAGTTCAGGCTGGCCTTGAGCTCACTGTGTAGCCTAGGCTGGCCTCGAACTCGCAGCAACCCTCCTGCCTCAGCCTCCCAAGTGCTGGGATTTTAAAGGGAGGTTAAAGGACAGTCACAACATGGAAAGGTGAGATGAGGTCCCGGCCGCCATCGGCCTCACTGTCCCTTGCGGGGCTCGTTCTCGAGCCTCTTCCGGTCTCTGCAGCTGGAAAGGTCTTTCACGTTCACGCGGGAGGCTGAGGACCAGCTGAAGGCCATTCCACAGTTCTGTTTCCCCGACGCCAAGGACTGGGCCCCCGTGCAGCAGTTCACCAGGTACGTGCCGGCCTCCCCGGCCCTCCCCAGTGGCCAGGGAGAAAGCCGAGAGGCAGCAGAAGCCAGCCATGCTGCAGCAGTCCCGGTGGGCCCCGGCCTGAGCATTCCCCAGGCTGCGCTTGTACACCTTCTCCGAGTCGAGCACCTGATCCTAGCACTTGGGAGGCTGAGGCCGAAGAGTCACAAGTTTAAACCCATCCTGGGCAACTTAGCCCGGGATTCAGCGAGACCCTCTTTGAAAATAAAACAGCAAAAGGGCTAGAGATGTAGGTCAGGCTGAAGGCCCTGGATTCAATCCCCAGTTGCACAGAACAACATAGAAACCTCTGAGAGGTTGTCGCCTTGCTGGGTGAGCGTGAGGTGTCCCGGCCTCCCACTGTCTGGGCACCTGTGTCCCTGGAGCCTCACTGAGTGATGCTTAGCCTGGCGGGAGGTGGGAGATGGTGCCTCAGAGCTGCACCCTGCTGGACTCAGTCTCCGTCTGTGCTTTTTTGAAGTTTGTTTTTTTTGGCGGAACCAGGGATTGAACTCAGGCCCTTGCGCTTGCCAGGGAAGCGCTTATTCCACTGAGCCATCTCCCCGGCTCCATTCTTGTTTTGTTCTGTTGGGTTGGTTTTTTTGTTTTGTGGTACTGAGGACTGAACTCAGAACTCTGTTCTTGCCAGACAAGCACTTATTGTACTCAGCTATCTCCCTGGCTGGAAGGTGTTTTTTTGTTTTGTTTTGTTTTTGTTTTGTTTTTGTTTTTTGTCAGTTCTGGGAATTGAACCTAGGGCCTTGCACATACTAGGTCCATCTGTGCTTTTGGGTGGCACCAGATGCTTGCGCCCCACTGTCCCACAGCCTGGGTGTCACAGACACTGTGATCAGCCGTGACAGTAAAGTTCTGTAGTGTTCTGTGTAGCAGGTGGCCCAGATGACAGAGTTAGGGGGTGGGAACCCCATTTCCTCTTGGGACACTGGCATGTTTGCCCTGTCCTCCCTGCCACCTCCTGGGCTGCTGTCATGCCCACTCAGCAGAGGCCAAGCAGCCACCCAGTACTGTCCCCTCACAGCCACCATGCTGAGGCACCTCTTGGACAGCTCACCTTGTAATGCCCTTGTGGTCCCATCCACAGTGAGACGTTCTCGTTTGTCCTCACCGGAGAAGATGGGAGCAGGCGGTTCGGGTACTGCCGGAGGCTGCTGGTAGGTAGGACTGCCGGGTGGCCACAGTCCACTTTGGGGCCCTTGAGACTCCATTTCACCCAGTGGGAAGGAAGAGGTGTGGCGGGTTCACCAGGGGGTTAAAAATGCAGACTAAGAGCTGGGTGTGGTGACACATGTGTACACCTGTGACCCCCAGCACTCTGGAAGCTGGGGCAGAAGAATCACAGGTTCGAGCCCAGTCTGGGCTGCATATTTATCAAGACCCCTCTCTCTGGAACAGAAGCAAAAAAACAAAAAGGTGAAAAGCCTGGGGACATGGATGTAGGTCAGTGTGGAGGCTCTGGGGTCAATCACCAATCCCACAAAAAATAAAAAA